GTACGCTCGCTTCCTCGCCTTTCGCGCCTGTACCTTGTCCGCCTTTGTCGTGTCCATGGCGAATGACGTTACTATTACATTGTATTAATCGTGATTTGAGTGGATTCGTATCCGGATACAAATTGGCAATTCCAAGAAATTAAACAGCCAATCAAAGGATGCCGATATCTGATTTTTGGAAGGTCAAAAGTTTGTTGACATATTTTGGAGTAATTTTGCGCGACATGAGAGTGACAAACAAGTCATGACGTCCGATGAAGCATGGCGGGGCTTGGTTAACAAGTGCATCCATGACGTGCCCACGTGGGTAGCATGCATTGTTGTTAAAATCCACTTTGAAAGAAAATGGATTCTACGTAATATTGGGTGTTATAGTTTACTTATTGTATAAACCAGTCAAATGTTCAATTCCACGATTAACTGTAAGCTCTAGTTCGGAGTTTGTAACGACCCGTAAGCCGGCACCATACCGGTACTAAATTTGTGATTCAATTGCATTGAATTCATCATGTTCGTTCATGTGACGGCATCGATGTGGAATCGTGTGCCGGGGTGGCGACGGGACACCACTGCACTTCGCGGCGGATCTTCGCGTGATGGCGTTCGATGACCTTGGCTGACCAATCCACGCTCGAATCCAACTGGCCAATCCCATGTAAGTATCATATCTATTCCAGCACGTCATGGGTTTCACCAAGGGATTAGCACAGGTACTACCGGCAGTAGAGGTGTTTCACTAACGTTACTTCGAAATACTACAAGAATTTCTGTAACGTTACCTAGCATCAAATCAATCGACAGTCCAATCGTATTTATGCGGCTTAGCCGCCTGCAAATATCGTGCTGACGTCAGGCGTACTGTACTACAGGGGTGAAACTGCTGAAGTCCAACCCAGTCCAATTTTCAAGTGTCTTGGCTGTATACGTATATATATCAAGTGTCCCACGTCACCATTCCTATTATTCCGACGAAGATGGGCTGCCCCCCTGTAAACCACCACTCCAGCGTTGCACATCCAACGTCAATCTTGCTTGGTTATCCTAAACTCCTTGGATGTGAATTCAAGGGCCTCAACCCAGGGCCTTTCAAACGAATTTTCTATCTGTATTCCTTGCTCATATTTGAAAAAATAGATTATCATTGGACAACACAAGATTTATCTAGAGTAATGTTATTTAAATGTGTATTCCTGTGGTCACTCGCCCACCACTCCATGATACTTCGAAGTACAGTATTTCGTAGCTTTAGCAACAGCTTGGATACTCCAGTACTCGAAGTGGTACAGTAGTAACAAGAACAATTTTGCGCCCCAAAATTTTGAGGCCTTAAAATTCGAAGTACAGTCATCCCCCGACTTTTGCAGCCCCTACCAAATATAATTTTACGGAGGTACATATATGCAAGGGTTATATGAAGTCTTGGAGGAGTATACCTTCACACTAGATAAGGATATTAATCACATTCGATGAGCAAAAACTAATCGTAAACATCCGAATACCCTACACGTTTTGTGAAATGTGGTCGCACAATTTCTCAAAGCAAG